TCCCGGCCATGTGGTGTAACATATCCACAGGTTCTGGGGGATTAGGCTGTGGACCCTGTGGAGCCATTACCCTGTCTACCCTCTCTCTACCAGGGGCTTGGAAGGGAGGGCAAGGGATTGGTTCCCATTGGTGCTTCCTCTCATCTGCACACCCCAGCAGGGGCTCGGTCGAAGAAACACCTGGGTTGGGGACCTACTACTTGGTAAGGGCTCTCACGAATTTCATCTGCTGGCTGGGGACCTCTGGCCTGGATTCAACTCCTCTCTGCAGGTCAGGCCTGAATTGGTGAATACACTGCTTGGTGCCAGGAGGCCGCCTTGTTGCATACAAATCACAAAGCCCAGCAGTGCCCTGGGCTCTTGGACATCTTGTGGCACTCCCGGTGAGGAGGAGGATTGGGCTTGGCAGGCTGGTGAAATACCAGGTTGCATAGTTACATCCTCACACCGTGGGACTCTCAATTCAAGCTGAAACTGGGACAGCTCTGAGCACCAGGGTCTGGGCCCCAACCACAGACGGTAAAGCTTGTACAGTGACTCTGAATCCTCATTTTCAAAGTGCAATCTCAATACCTAAAACATTCAGAGCTTGGAGGGCAATGAAAACCCTGTAAGAAGAAGGAACAGAAACACTTTCCTGCTTGGCTTCTTGGCATGACATCAGAGGGCCCCTGTCATTTGGTTCAAGTCTCAGGCTGACGTTTTACTGCACTGCATTCTCGCTGCACTATTTTTATTACCACTTCAGTTAATAAGGGCCACTGGAGGTCAATAAATATTCTAATGGTGTAGAAGAAAGTAACCAAGTCATTCCAAAGCCCTCCTCCCGACCTAACTGTGCACGACGGGCCTGAATTCTGTCCTTGCGCCCTCAGTGACACTTGCATGACCGGGGGATGCCATTTAGAAGCAGCCTGGAACTGCACGTCGGTGACGTCAGCGAGGGCTGCAAACAGCAGGGCAGTGCTGTGGAGGGACAGAGAGAGCTCCTTGGGAATGGAAGCTTTCCCAGACCTGAGCTTTACACTTTGAAAGCACTCAGCTCTCAGGAGTTCAAGAACTTTTGATGGGTCCTGAGGGGACAGCATGCAGGAACTGGCAGGAGTTTAGCAAACCATCTGACGGTCTGTGAGGCCGGCCTCCTGGCTCCCTGGGGCACTCCATGCCGAACCTCTCTGTATTTGCCTGTTATCTGGGGCCAGTGACTTGGAACAAGCCACCTCCGTTTGTCCCTTTTGATCCTGTCCCCTCAGCTGGCTGGCTCTAGTTCACTGGAAGGGGCCACTGATGACTATCAGGTAAAAACTGGAGCCCAGGGGTGGCAATCCTGAAGAGTGACAGCAGATCAAGGGCAGACTTGGCATTGTGGATTGACTATCATCCTTTCTTATTTCTCAGATGCTGGCTGGTGACATACAGGACTCTCAGACTGACATGGTCCCTATCTCCCAGGCTCCAAAGGTACCTATTCCTATCAATTCCTTTTAATAGCCCTGAAGATATCCCAGCCACATCCTGTTGCTAACAGCCACGGTTTGTGTGCTAGGTCAGCGTCCTTCAGGGCCTTCCCCTGGAAGAGCTCTAGCTCCTGAGCTGCACCGCTGAGATTAATGATTTTCCTGTGGGTATGGTGAGGTGATCTGCTCTCTTACGCTCCTCTTCTCTTGGCTGACGTCTAACCAGGCCTCATCCCTCAGTACTTTTCCTATTTCCTTCGTAGCACGCATGCAGTCTGCGGCCTATGCGTGAACCCTAAGGACTGGGCTGTCTTTTTATAAAGAACTTCCGGGAAATATCTCAGCTCTGGGACCTTCTTTTTTCAGCTTAAAAGGGAAGAATTCTGGAAAGGTGCTGCATTTTTTTGTCGGTATTTTTTTCACTTGTCTAATTTAAATAATTTAAAGAACATATTTCTCATTATAGGGACAAGAATAGGATTACCTTGTCTGCAGCCATTTGCATACTACCTTAAAAAAAAAAAATACCTGCACACCATCTGTGATATTCTCCTTTGATATTTCACATTAAATTGTCTCACGCCAACACTATTCTTTACCCGAAACAATATTTGTAAAATCTTGGGTTTGATGTACTAGTTATACATTTTTTAATATAATTAAAATGTAAAAGAAATATTTCCCTGTCTACTATCTAAAATTATTTCCGGGCGCCTGGGTGGCCCAGTGGTTAAGCATCTGCCTTCAGCTCAGGTCATGATCCCAGGGTCCTGGGATCGAGTCCCGCATTGGGCTTCCTGCTCAGCAGGATGTCTGCTTCTCCCTGGGGTGCTTGGGAGGCTCAGTCGTTAAGCGTCTGCCTTCGGCTCAGGTCATGGTCCCAGGGTCCTGGGATCGAGCCCCGCATCGGGCTCCCTGCTCAGCAGGAAGCCTGCTTCTCCCTCTGCCACTCCCCCTGCTTGTGTTCCCTCTCTCGCTATCTCTCTCTGTCAAATAAATAAATAAAATCTTAAAAAAAATACATAAAATTATTTCCTATACCACTACTGTTTGCCTCCCACTTTGGGAAATACTCATCTAGAATATAACAGTTTTTGGAAGAGATTTGCATGAAGAACTTTACAGCAACAAATCTACTACAATTTCAACTTAGCCAAAGATGAAGCATTTCTATGGTCTGTTTACAGTAACTTTAGAGATGAATGAAGTTTAACATATTCTAGAACAATGGAAAATATCTCACTGCCTACAGATCAAAACTTGTATGAAATAGGAGATTTATAAGCATTATTAGATCCTAACTTAAAAAAAAAAAGCCACCTGAATTCTATCTTTAAAAGCTGGTCAGTTATCCTTTCAGTCTTAAATGATCACATCTGAGCATTCCAGTCTTGGGAGAACCAGAAGACATTGCTGTCCAATTGGTCCCATCAAAGAGGCTGAGCTGGACAATATAACAAACACTATCCATCTTTCCAGCCCCCACCCCCAGTCCTCCACCTCCAAAAGCAGGAACAAGCTCAGCTGTGATCTATAATAATTCCATTAACCCTGCAATGAAGCATTAAATTAAACTGCCTAGCACAGATTCTTCTTTTGCTATAAGGGAAAATGTACCTTGTAAAGCCTGAATTTCATGCTAATAGATTAACTAACCAGCTACATGTTTACAGGAGAATACAAATAAGCAAAATAACTAGGCAAATTGTGAAATCTCCAGTGGGGTGTTACAACAACAGACTTTCTCCCTGATAATATTTCCTCTGAAGAGTTTAGTTATAGAGCGTTCCAGCCTTAGAAAGAGCAGTTCTCCGGGGCGCCTGGGTGTCTCAGGGCTTGTGTCTTTCTCTCAGGTCATGATCTCAGGGTTGTGAGATCGAGCCCCATGTTGGGCTCCATCCTGGGCGTGCAGCCTGCTTGAGATTCTCCCTCTCCCTCTGCCCCTCCCCACCCTCCCTCTCTAAAAAAAAAAAATAAATAAAAATAAATAAAAAATTAAAAAAGAGGGGCGCCTGGGTGGCTCAGACGATTAAGCGTCTGCCTTCGGCTCAGGTCATGATCCTCGGGTCCTGGGATCGAGCCCCGCATCGGGCTCCCTGCTCTGCGGGGAGCCTGCTTCTCCCTCTCCCTCTGCCTGCCGCTCCCCCTGCTTGTGCTCTCTCTCTCTCTGTCAAATAAAAAACAAAAAAATCTTAAAAAAAAATTTAAAAAGAGCAGTCTTAAAAAAAAGAAAGAGCAGTTCTTAAGTGGTTCACCTTTCTATGGAATTCTCAAACCAATACTTTTAAACAAATTAATTACAGGAAGAAAGCTGACTTGAGCTGACACTGTGGTGAAGAGCCTTTGTCACCTCTGGCATAAATCACCACCCTGGGCCCTGGGAGACTCTGAGAAGGGCAAATTCAAGTTCGTGGCAGAGCCTGGGCCAGCTTCCAGGTTTCTGACAACTAATTCGGTGTTCTCCACACCAGCACAGTCTTCTCAGTCTTCCCAGAGAAAAGATGAAGATTCCTCTTGAGCAAATTCCATTCCTGGGGGTAACTTCAGCGTGCCCTAGTCAGCGTGCCCTAGTTCTCTTAAGCCAGAGAACCACAGACATCACTTAGCTCTTTGTAAAAACTATATCCAGCTAAGAGAACAGCAAGAAGCTGGCTTTGCGCTGCAAATATGTGGCTTTCTGGCCCATGAGGATTAGCACCCAAAAAGGTATGGTGACTTCAAGCACACACATCTAAATGCCATGTTCTGTCTCATCAACACACATGGGGAAAGAGGTCAAGTATACCAGCAAAATAATTCAACAGTCAGATCATTAAAGGGTATTGAAATCTAGAAATACAGCACATCAGAGCTGGAAGGGATCTGGGAAGTCATATAGTCTGAACCCCTTCTTTAATAGATTGCTCAAGGCCATAGAATCCGTTTGTGCCAGAGTAAGGATTACCCAATAGCCCTCTAGACTGTAATGTTCTCTGAAGCTCTTTTCATCTCTGACGTGGGCTGTAATGAAGACCAGTCAAGTGCTGTCATGTCAGGTCCTCAGCATGTGCTGTATAAACTACATCCTTAAGCCTTGCTTCCCAGTGCCAGGCCACAGGAGACCCACAGTGAAGCCTGCTCAGCCAAGGCCAGGAGCACTCCCTTGGGCACCCAGGCCTTCTGTGCATCACCAGGGACTGTGTTCCCAAGTCCAGTACCTAGAAAGCTGGCTAACAGAGGAAGTAAAGCAGATCCCTGGGGCCCGGGGAATCGACAAAGATACAGGTAGCAACAGTCAAAACAACATCCCAAATTACGCAAGCCTGAATTCCCTCTATTCTTGCTGTCAGAAGCGCCACCCTAACCAGAAGCAGGACTCAAGAACCCTTTGGCAGCGCTCTCCTACCTGCTGAGCCAGCTCCTGACCCCAGGTGTGGCGTCAAGGCCTCTCACCCCCTGCGTGGGTCACGGCAGTGCCCATCGTTCTCAGTATCATACCCTCACTTCTCAGGCCACTCTGAAATGAGTTCTGCACCTGGTCAGTCTCAAGCAGAGCAAACTTACCTGTCAGCATCGCCAAGGCCCAGGGAGGTATTTCTTTGCAGGGTCTCCCGCACCACAGCCATCCCATCGGGGAGCCGGTTCAGGCGACGAGTGTAGAGGCCAAGTCCACCATCGGTCATGTACCTTCAACAGGAGCAGAGGATGATGCAAAAATACGGTCAAGAGCAATTCATGTACAGTCTTGTTGTTCACATCTAGGAGCCCTGCATGGCCATCTTGTGCTCTAAGGGGGAAGGAACTGAGGCTTTCCCGAGGCTCTGTCACTAATCACAGCCCAGGGATAACTCCGCTGTTAATTCAACCCAAAGGATCACCCACTTGCTAGCAAAAATAGAACTCGGCTTAATTAACCCAAACTCACAGGAATCTATGAAGCAGAAGGGAACTAGTGAATAACACTAACCGTCAGATGTATTCATGACATTCTTTTTAATTTGGCAATTATACAAGCAGGTGTTTTACCTAAGTAATGGGAGTAGAACTGACAATCATTAGCAAAGCATAGGGAAAAAAAATATGACAGAACAGTGCAATGGAGAAAGTACGCAAGCTTTTAAAAGAGGATGGAAAGGAAAGACAGAGGCCAGATGAGCCACCTTTGTCATCACGGGCAAGTTGCTTCTCTGGGTCCTGGGTCTTTCATCTGAACTATGGGAATATCACAGCCTTCCTGCATCCTCAAGGCAGACATGAGAATTAGCCAGATAAGGCATATGAAGGTGCTCTGCAATTTGTGTAAGACCCTATACACGGAAGACATTATTAGGGGTGTCATTATCTTGAAGTATCTCCAATGGTGAATTTCACCTTTGATATCGATGCTTTAAGAGGGTTGTCACAAAACTCTCCAAACAACACTCACGCTAATTTACTCTGCCAGATTTCTTGGTGAGTCCACAAAGCTATCTTCCAATGGAGTCGGTGTTATCAGGGGAGGGGGTACCCCTGGAGCTTCTTCTGTATAGATAGCCATCCGTTACCCAGACCAGTTCCTGAGAGCTTTGCCACCAGCAGGGGGTAGTTCAGGTACAAAGCAGCTTTACCTCATCTACCCTGCCTCCTTCCAAAATCCCATAAGGGAGACTGCTTGTGCCATCACCCCCATCTTCAGAGGAGGACAGGAAGGCAAGACAAAAGATGGGCAGAGCAAGAAACCAAACTCGGTTCCCTTGAATTCTCACACGGGCTCCATCAGATAGACCTGCAAGGTGTCTGAAGATGCAGGTGTCTCACATTTCAAGTGAAATGACATTTATTTAAAAGATTTTATTTATTTATTTGACAGAGAGAGACACAGTGAGAGAGGGAACATAAGCAGGGGAAGTGGGAGAGGGAGAAGAAGGCTTCCTGCCGAGCAGGGAGCCCGATGTGGGGCTCGATCCCAGGACCCTGGGACCATAACCTGAGCTGAAGGCAGAAGCCCAATGACTGAGCCACCCAGGCACCCCTGAAATGACATTTATTAAGAAGACCCATGAGTGGTGATTTTCCTGAGACAGTCCGCTGAGCTACATCACACAAAATGTTTCACTGCATTTAGTATTTTAGCTTTAGAATATATGAAGTAGATTTTGAGGGTTGTCAATTCTGGACTTTCTTCTACTTCGAGTTTGGGTCCTTTCTGGGATGTATTCTTAGAAAGATGGAATTACAGGATGCTGTGGAGGTTGCCCATGACCAGTACGTTTCAGTTAGGGGCAGAGAAGACAGTTCTCACTGGCGCATCTGGGGTAAGAAGAAGTTTCCATATGCGTCAAAAGAATTCTCCTTTAGGGCAGCTTCCAGGACACCACATCTAAACGGAACTTCTCTGATGTCCCCTCCCGCCCCTCATGACATTAATGATCAGAGGCAATGCAATGCCAACATGATGTAAAATCTGTTGGAGCAGTCAAACCAGTTGGGTGTGGTTGTACCAACAAAATGACAACAGATGAGACTGAGTTTTTCACTCCACTGTGTCATATGAAAAACAAAGCAAAGGGGCGCCTGGGTGGCTCAGTCTTTAAGCACCTGCCTTCAGCTCAGGTTATGGTCCCGGGGTCCTGGGATCGAGCCCCGCATCGGGCTCCCTGCTCAGCGGGAAGCCTGCTTCTCCCTCTCCCACTCCCCCTGCTTGTGTTCCCCACTCTCTCTAGGTCTCTATCTGTCAAATAAATAAATAAAATCGTAAAAAAGAAAACAAACACTGTAAATATACTAAAAACCACTGCATTATATACTTTAAAAGGGTGAATTTTATGAATTGTATGTCAATAAAACAACAAAAAAGAGGGATTACAGCTACAGTTTAATAATTATTTGTGTAATTACTTTTTAGTGCTTATCTCCTACACTCTATGGTAAATTCCTTGAGGACAAGGGCTATTTGTACTTTGTTGAAATCTATATCCCATGTGCCTGACACATAGTAAGTGCTCATGACAAATTGTTTGTGTTGCATGAAGACCAAAGACACAGGCATAGAATGGGGTTTAGCAAAAACTTTTGGGGAGGACACTGATTACAGGTTAGCTTTCCTCTCTTTATTTTTTAAAGATTTTATTTTTTTAAGTAATCTCTACATCCAACCTGGGGGTCAAACTCACAACCCAAGATAAAGAGTTGCATGTTCTAACGAACGAGCCAGCCAGGTGCCCCTTCCTCTTTTTTTTTTTTTTTAATCAATTCTTTTTTTCTTTTGAAAGTTTATTTACTTATTTATTTATTTGGTAATCTCTACCCCCAGTGTGGGGCTTGATCTCACAACCCTGAGATCAAGAGTTGCAGGCGCCACTGACTGAGCCAGCCAGGCGCCCCACGTTTTCCTTCCTCTTAATTGCCGGCAAACATGACACCTAAGATATATGGAAAGGCAAACTGAACTGTTTATCTGCCGGTCTACCCACCCATCTGTCCACCCAACCAGCCACCCATTTGGTGTAACCCAGGTTCCAGTGGTGGGCTCCGTGTACATATCCTACAGCCAGCACGAGGAGAAAAAAGCACCCACCTAGATCAAAATGCAGTGACTTCGCCAGAGGCTGGAGTTTCTAGCTCAAATGTCCTTTCAAGGAGAATTCAGGGGAAGCTCTTCAAAACTCAATCTGCTGCACCATTAAGCAAGGCAGTTAATTTTGATTTTAGCAAAGCCCACCCAGCTATATACACGAAAACTTTTCAACTGCGGGGATCTTGTCAAAGGACAAACAAATTCATTTTCACATTCATTTCCCCGCTGGATTTTTATAGCTGGTGAAACAACACTCACAGTTGGGCAATTACACGCACCCAGGCGTGTAGATAAGGCCCCCAGGTACACAGCGTCCGCCTTCTGCAGAGGCGCGGGGCAGGGCCTGGTCCACAGACGAATGCTGAGACGCGCTGCAGCCCCCAACCCACTAACACCCGAGCACGACGTGGTTCTGTCAAAAATGAAAACCCACACCGGTGGGAGGGCCCTGGAGAGATGGGACTGCATGTGTTACCTCGGCCTATTGACTGCTACGGGGAATTCTGATTTCGTTCAGGCCAAGAGGAAAGGCAAGATAAATCAGATCCTCTGCCTTTGCAAATGGCACAGAGAACTAAAGAGCCTGGGAGTTGAATGCAACTAATCTGACTGTGACCCAGCTTTGCTGCAAATCTATTTCATTTTTTTATTTTTTTATTTTATTTATTTATTTATTTTTTAAATTTATTTATTAGAGAGAGAGAGAGAGTGAGAGAGAGAGCACAAGAGGGGGAAGGGTTAGAGGGAGAAGCAGACTCCCCGCCCAGCAGGAGCCCGACGTGGGACTCGATCCCGGGACTCCGGGATCATGACCTGAGCCGAAGGCAGTCGCCCAACCAACTGAGCCACCCAGGCGCCCTATTTCATTTTTAAAAAAAATATTTTATTTATTTGAGAGAGAGAGAGAGAGAGACAGCATGAGAGGGAAGAAGGTCAGAGGGTGAAGCAGTCTTCCTGCTGAGCAAGGAGCCCAACGTGGGGCTCGATCCCAGGACCCTGGGATCATGACCTGAGCCAAAGGCAGACACCTAACAACTGAGCCCCCCATTCGCTGTGTGTGAGAGGGGTAAGGTAAGGAGGGTAAGGGATTGGGGGTGGGGTGGGGAGAAATGGTGAGGAAATGGGGAATTTACATCTTTTCCCAGACATTTGCAAACCACACATATCCGATCATATATAGTTTTTATAACATTCTTAAAAATAAGTTCTATTTTATGTCCTCTCACTAGGAGACAGCTGTCACTACAACCAGGCTCACACTCAACAATCTAATGTAAAATATTTATTTTTAAATTATTACCCACTGATTCCAACAGCCTCATTTACAAAACGCTCCCTATATGTTTTTAAATAACTCTTCTACTCTCAATGAAAAATAAAATTTTGGTTTGACACAGATTTGTGTAGGAACTAGCTACTGAATATATTAATATAGACTGCCTTCATCAAGTTAATCCCTTAAGAAAGCTAATTTACAGGTGAAGCAGTCACTGGTGCGTCCACCTGAATCAGCGGCCCTTGTCCAGCAGGGCTGAGAAGGCTTGTGTTCTGGATGGTGGGGGTGGGGGCAGGGGAGCCAAGGCCATGCCCCATCTTTGGGAGCTTTAGCAAGGCTCACACAGGGTTAGCTTGAGGTCACAAGAAAGGAAGCAGCAGATCCAGGGACTGGATCCTCTAGCACCAACACTGTAGGGTTCCTTCTCCTTGGGGAAATAAATAACTAGTGCTGGAGCCTAATGATGTGTCAGTAACATCCTAATGTTTGCTTGGTGGGGTCCTGACTAAGCCACCAAGCCGCTCAACAATGTCCACATTACCATCTCAAGTTCCGCAGTGATGGGTGCAGGGGCCCTGCCTCCGCCTTCCACAGCCTCCCTGGAGGCCCCCCAATGGAGCCTGGGCTAACGACACAAGGTGTGTGTGTGTGGAGGGAGTGCGTTTCTTTTCAAGGCTGGGGCACCATGGGCTGGCCCACGAGCATAAGAGTTAGCATCAGGGCTCTCTTGTCAGAAAGACCTGGATTCAAATGTCTCCTCTGCCCCTTGCTGGCTCGGGGACCTTGGGTGCATCATTATTAATAAGAACTAATGGTTATGGAGGCTACCTGGGTACTGTGCTAAGTGCTACCCAT